TTACAGTGCTAAAATACACCTGGGAGCCAGAGATCTTGCTGACTGATAGGGGATCAAATACTTATTTCATTCATGAAAATGCAAATTAATGTACAACTTTTTTTGTAATGCATTTTTCTGGATTTTTTGTTATTGTTCTCTCACTGTTCACATAAACCTACCATTGACATTGTAGACTGATCATTTCTTTGTTAGTGGGCAAACTTACAAAATCAGCTTGGGTTTTTTAATTTAATTAAATTTTTTCCCAGCTGCTGGTACTGTTGTAAAGCAACAACAAAAAGGCTGCATTAGCAAAGGTTTTATAAACAGCTAAATACAACAGCTGAGCAGTGATATCTGTAATTAGAAACAGTTGTTTATAAAGCACATTTTCCACTTGGGCTCATAACAACTTGCTTCTGGGGAAACTGGAACACACAGCCTTGACGTAAAGAGCCATACTTGCAACAAAAACGTATGAATAACTGATTTTTTTTTCCCATCATGCTGTAGTCATCTCTTTCGTTTGTTGGCAGTCCCGCGTGTTTTCTGAAATGTGCTCAGTCACACCAAGCTGCAGATGTTAAGAGCTAGGTAAGAACCTGGGGCGTGAACTTTTTTCATGGTACACTGCTTTAGGAAAAATGCTTCTCCCGTTGACTAAATGTATTTATGTAAGAACAAAATGTATTTAGTTTGCAAGTAAAAAAAAAAAATAAACAGATCATCCATGTTTGGAGGCTCCAAACTGTCTGTGTTTACATCAGCTGGTTTAAAGATATTTTCTCCCTGCTCTAAAACGGTCTAATGAGCTGCCAGCACAAGATGTTACTGTCTTATGGAGCTAAACAAAACATGATTCAATGTTTGCTTTGGCTTCTAAAGGATTGTAGCATGTAAAAGGGTGCCCAGTAGAGTTTTTGACCACTGATGTCTTGGGCAGCAATAAAAAGGAAAAGAGAAGGACCGCAAGTCCATAAATAGCCCAGGTTTCAAAAACAAATTCAGGATTTCTGACTACCTCAAACCTCAGGGTTTTCTTTGTTTCCCTAAACACAATGATGCACAGCGTCCACTTCATGGTGACCTACCTTGAAGGCAAGGCAGACCTTGCGGGCCACCAGTTTCTCCATAGCCGTCAGCATGACGGGGTAGCGGATCTCCTTCCCCTCGCTGTCCCTCTCTACCTTTCCGTCTAGAGCAGGGGACTTCCTGGCCTCTGCATGGGCGTAGTCTGGACCCACTGTGTAAACCTGATAACACACACATGCAGGCAGAAGACACACAAACATAGAAAGTGTGTCAGCACTGATGATAATGGACTTCTACATTTCACTAACTGGACAAAAGAATGAGTCATAACTATAACTGTTTTCACAAACTCCGGACTGTGTCCGCAGAATCTGGCCCGGACTTTGTCCAGAGTTGCCCTTTCACACATGTAGTGCACAGCAGATGTGTGTCAGGTGCATTCTCTCCTACTGGAAATACTCTGTGGTTTATGTGGGGTGGGCGTCTGTGTAGAGCGCGTAATCAGGTAGCCAGTTTGTAATTTGGTCAAAAACTACTGAGTCTCTTGCCCGACCTTAAACTTGACATCGACTATTAACAACAGAAGTTCCTGAATCTCGTCATGTCTCCAGTTCTTTGGCATCTTCATTGTAAATGACCGTTTTTCTTCACCACCAGTTTCACGCCGGTCACATGACAAAGCAGCATCAACACACCCACTAGCTCCATGTAAAAACTCTGGACTCTACGCTGCGGTTTTCTCACATGGGCTCACTTGGACATGAAGCGGACTTTATACCAGGCAGCTGGCAGGGATCGACTGACATTTGCGTTCTCACATACAGCTCTTTTGGGTAATGTCTAGATAATTTCAGGGCTCCAGTGCACGTCTGCGAGAGCCTTATGAGTCACTGCTGCAAAAATCTGTTCAAGAAATTAAACATCTCTAACAGAGGTCAAGTGAACATCAACAGTACCTTCACATCGGTACCATCTGTGGGCATGAACTCCTCATAGATGTAAGATCCAGTCTTTCGTACACTGCTTTCTGGGGAGTACACACTGCTACGGCTCCCTATCTATAGCAGAGAGAGAGAGGGAGAGAGAGAGAGAGAGGAGAATTCAAAGGCATTTGGACCCAAACCTGCCAATAAAGACCTTAATTCACCTCAGTTCCCACTCCCTGAAACATCTACACTGTCTCTTAATACTTCTTTTGTCCTTGCTGTTCTTCTGTATGTTGAGTGACTGTCTACTACTAAAAAGGTAAAAGGTTTTATCTCCACAACAGTTATATGTACTGTCAGAATGACATTTTTAATATTCTAATGTTATCACATTTTCCCTTTTCTAAGTCATAATTAATTAAACAATAACAGCGAGTTTCAAACAAATGATTAGAAGCATTACATCATTTATTGACAAGTGAAGAAAGTAAATCCTTATACAGCTGAACGCGTTATGCTTATGACAAACATTTGCTCGTTTGAAGAGTTTCATGGGAGGCAGCTACCTTTCTGAAGAGTCTCTGGCTGCCTCCTCCAGCAGATGTTGGGTAATAGATGTAGACATTGTGGTCCTCAGCACACACAGGTTTCTCCACAAAGGGTTTAGGGAACACTTCTCCATTCACCTCAACATGGTCCTCACACTCCACCAGGTTACACTCTGCATACAAACAGCAACAAAGATGTTACCGACAAGGAAAATGCACAGTTTAGTTTACATTTTCCATCCAATCAGATCAAATTTCCCTGCTTACCCTGGATTTGAACCATTACTGTACAGAACCTAACAAGCTGTATACCCCGTACTTCTCCCCACATAACCTCCCAGGATGATGCGGATCGTGGTGCTTTGTTTTTTCATTGTATTGTCTCTGTGTTGGTCACTGTTTAGAGAACAGAAGGTGGGGCTGCACCCCTCTAAACCACACCGTGCTTGTAATGTGAACTGGTGAGGTGTGAAGACATGGACATTTGAACAATCACAGGCAACTGCTCTGTACACATGCAATGCCTCCCCCCTCGCATTCATGGAACTTTTAGTAGCACTCCCTGAGGGGGGCAGAGGGCAGTCAAAACGAACACAGAACCCATTACGAGCGATACTCTGTTTGACAGGTTCCTATAATGGAAAAACTCTTATGTCTTTAACACAGACTGCAATCACAATTAAAAGCTACACAAGTCTGCAACACTGACCGTTTAATACAACAGCAACCAACACACACACTGTGCCTTTCACTTATTTACTTTACTTATCTGTATTTAACATGGATCTGGACCAATCCACATAATAGGCATCAGTCTAAAACAGCAGCAGAGTAAATAATACTGCAGTATTGTTCATCTTCAATATAAATCATCATAATTTTATGTCATATAGAAGAAAAGACAGACAGCAGTAGGAAAAACAAAGTCAGCTACACCAAATTTTTCTTACTTAGGGAAGGAACACTGGAAACAGATTACTGGGTTACTGAGGTCAAACATATTGAACATAATGAAAGAACTGTGCACACCTTCAGGATTGTCGGGGTCTCGGTTCAACACAGCATAACGAGGTAGGTCAATGCCCTCTTCCTGGAGGATCCGGTACACTTCCCTCCTGACACAGAATCAAACAGTCATTATAGATCACCTCCATTAAAAAAAAGAAAAAAAAACAGAAAGTGTAGATGTGATGTGTGTCCCAATGTCTTTGGTCTTTGGCTGCTTCGGTCAGCTAAACTCACTGGAGTCAGGTCTTTGGCTGCGTCGGTCAGCTAAACTCACTGGAGTCAGTGTGGCCACTGTCTTATGGGGGAATCTTACTTTTTACCTTATACATTTAAACCCCTCAACCGTGTGTGTGTGTGTGTGTGTGTTTGTGTGCGTGTGTGTGTGTTACTGCACAAACCACACCTGTCCTGTATGAAATATTGCATATTGAGGTCATTGATGAGTAGCGGATTCCTGAGCTTAGCGTACTCCACAGCTTTGTCCAGAGGGAAACCTGAATAGATTCAGATAAAAACCGTATCACTATTGCCAGAACAATATTCTTCATCAATCCAGGCTCATACAACATTTACATTGGTCATTTTTCCTTGTTAGCATTTACACGAAAATGATTTATTTAACGTTTATTTTACTAGGATTAAAAAAAGACCCTCTTTTTAAATTCAGAGGACTCGTGCACTCGTCAGTTCTGTAACAATGTTAATGGGTCCTCAGAAGTTTCCACAGATTTATTCATTTCAGCAGGTTTCAGTGGACTTTAATAGGATTCAGTGTGAGCCAGAGTAGATAAGTGATGAATGCAGCTGTCTGTTTGAATGGAAATTCACACCCAGCATGTTTCATTGGCATAGTGTCATATTCACCTGAACTGAGCCTCCACCTCTAATACGGGACAATTTAAAACATTAACGGAATTAAGACTTCCTTGAAAAGAGACCTTAAACACCCACTGTTGGGTAGCCATTTTCTCTAAAGACCTCTGACTCACAGGAAGTGATGGAGTTTCCATTTGAGGTCTCAGTAGAGACAGGATGCTTGAAAATGGGGGAAGACCTGAGTAATAATGAGTAACAAAGTTCCCTTAATAGAGAAGCCAAAGAAAAAACTTTGTTGTTACCAGTTTACATTTATTTAAAGCAGCTTGGAGCAACACAGGTGACTTTCATGCACAAAACACAGTATTCTCAATATTCCCTACATTCCTCTGTAAACGAAGCATTTCGGAGAAATCTTAGCTTCCCAACAATCACAACACAGGACTCACATCATGTTCCCTTGGTTTGACCAACTCTCCACATCATGCTATTAAAAATAGAACGGAAAACAGTCCCATGTGATTTACTCCGACTCAAATACACACAGAGACAGATCACTATCAGCAGCAACACACTTAAATAGTGTAAGTGAATGAACGTGTGATATTTCTAATATATTCAACTGATTTTAACTGGCTATTTTACTGTGATAAAAAAAAATCATATTTGAGCTCTTAATCCTTAAAAGTAAACACATGTGCAGCTGCAGCAACATGCATTCTTAAGTGTCATTTAAGATAGAGGACATAATACACAGGAAAATGTGTTGATCTTCCTCCTCTGTGTCTGCCTTCGTAAACCACACACAGTCAGCTGAGAAGTAAAATTAATTAGAAGCCTAAAATGCATATTTCTAATCCCATAGTTCTCTTTGTTTCTCTGTGAGACATTCCCATTAACTAGTACTGGCTGATGTCAGACAGCCTGACACAAATTCTAAATGATGGTAAAACATTTAAGGTATTGATATTTCCCAAGAGAAAACAGAACATCTACCTGACTGAGCACATTTTTATGCTGCTGCAGGAAAAAAATGCCATTTAATTTCCGCTGTTTTTTTGAGGAACAGAAAACAATTAGATGCCCATCTACTCTGCTAATCTGCTCTACTAATTAAGAATCTGTCTGGAGGCAGGCAAAGCAACAAACTAACACCTCCCCGAAGTGCCAAACTCCAGGCCTCATTTCCCATCCACCTCCCTGGTCACAGTTTCCTCTCATGCAACACAGTGCTCTTAACACTAGAAAGTTTTACCTCTGGAGTGGAAGGAGATAAGGCAGTCGCAGAGGGGCCAGTTCTCCACAGGTTCCTCCAGGATCACCTCCTCGGGAAATATGACCACGTCTATGTAGTCGAACTTAGAAAGGCGCTCCATGATCTGCGTCATGGGCTTGGATGTGGACTTCTTCATCATGGCACATATGGCGACCACAATCTGCCGCTCTGACGGCTATTGGAGAGGATGGAGACATGACACGAAGCACATCACATCAAGTGAGACAAGGATACTGACAAAAACGTGCAACGTGCTAGTTTTACAGCACTGTTATTTTTCCTTCTGCCTAAAAATGACCAACACTGTCGTTTCCTATTCTGTTCCAAAATGAACTCTTCTCTTTCAGTTGAGGATTTATAATCACTGAAACGCCTCATTTATAAATGCAACTAGTTTTAGGCACATTTCACTGCATAAAGTTTATTTTTAAACCTAAGAGAACAAAAAACTGTCATATCGTGACTTTAATGTGAAAACAAAAGTGAGGAAACAATTATTATTACGCAACAGTCAATAAAACACAATTAAATGTGCCAATTGGGAGAGCATTCATATGGAAGCTCAGTATCCAAATTAAATGATGTTTACCCATTATTTGCCCCCAAAGAGGGGGGTGTCAGGCCATGGCGTCATAAATCTTCAGCATCGCCATTTCCCAGACCTAACCTGCCCTTAACACCTACCCTTAATAATATAACCACAAACAATCACCTCATGATACACCTGTAAGTTAGGAAATACGTGAGAACACCTGAATTAACACCTGTAACTCACCAACTCATCTTCATCATCCTCCATTTCCTCATCTCGAAACATCTTGTTCTTCATGCCTGTCTCCATTTGACCCACGTCCTGCTCATCATCATCACAGCCAATCACAAACCTGGGAATGTCCCTGTGATCACACTCCTGTCCTTCCTCTGCTCCTGCTCCTGGTCCGTCACAGGGCTTGGACATCACAAACCAACATGTAACATGGCTGCTTCAGGTAGCTCCTTCTAGCACGGGGTCAGGAAACCAGGAAGGCAGTAAGCAAACCAGCCAACTGTGGTGTAGCGTCACTGGGTGACCGTCATCTGAGAGCGGCGGCGGTGATAAAGTGAAGGGTCTGCTGGCGTCTCTGAGCTGGCTGATAACAGCTACGTGTGTCCACAGTATGTGTAGAGGTAGAACAAGAGTAATGGATGTCCTAGGAGGTAGAACAGGGGCAGAGGACTCAACATGTGTCGAGGCAAACAATCATGATCCTGGTTGTACAACTGTTAAGACAGAAAGGAGTAAAACTTGTTAAACGACAGCTGCCAGTTGCAGCATTGTGAGCTCAATTGAACAAACATACAGCTGCTGAATAACCACGGCACTGGTTGGTGCAGTGACGCTACATGCACCATGTGTGAAATGTCAATCACAAAGCAGAAGATAAACTTTACTGATTCCTGAGGAACACTAAAGTCACTGCTTTGTGAAGGATTTTACCTTTGTTTTATTTACAAACACAGGTTCAGATTAATGCAGCTGTGTTAGTCCGGGTCACAGCAACTCCAGGTCAGAGGAATACCACTAACCATTACACCAAGCTGCCTTATTATACACACCATCATCAACTCCACGCTACTCTCCTGCCGACTCAACATTTCACTGTCTAAAAAGCCCATGTTACCTTTTATCGTTGTTATGACAACGGGGCCTGAAGAGGAGGCAGGCCGTCTGTATTGTTTTCTGTATTAAAGTGGTTCACATCATTCTGGTTTCCACTTCACTTTTTAGAGAGCTAAATGTTTTCAAATACATCAAATCTAGAGTTTTAAAGGTCAAAAAACCACAAAGACTTATCTGCAGACTGTATTTCGATAATAATTTAACATTTTCACAAGAATAAGGTGGCATGGTGACGCAGTGGTTAGCGCTGTCACCTCACAGCAAGAAGGTTCCGAGTTCAAGCCCAGGCCGACCTGGTGCCTTTCTGTGTGGAGTGTGCATGTTCTCCCACAGTTCAAGGACATGCAGCAATCTCTCTCTCTCTGTCTGTGTGTGTGTGTGTGTGTGTGTGTGTGTGTGTCTCTCTCTCTCTCTCTCTCTCTAAGTGTCAGCCCTGTGGTAGACTGGTGACCTGTCCAGGGGGGATCCCGCCTCTTGTTCAGTGTCAGCTGGGATAGGCTCCAGCCCCGCCGCGGCCCTCGTTAGGATAGGCGGTATAGATAACGGATGGATGGATACTATAGAATAAGACCCTCAACTAGTTTTTCTAATAATACCTCTACTATACTTGGAAACTCAGCTTCCAAGAATTAAAAGAAGGAAGACAAAAGAATAATCTAACCCCCAGAGAAACTGTCCTGTGTGTATTAGCACTCAGTTTCTTGAAACACTGCAGAACAAAGACACAATGGCGTAACTGACGTCAGACCAAAGCAGCAGATGTTGCTGCGGCTTTCTAACCATGACTCTCCTGCCAAAAATACAAGGTGAGACAATTTGTTTTGCTTTGAACGATAGCCAAATTTCACCAAATATTTGCAGTCCTAGTGCTTCAAAATAATGGGTGTGTGTGTGGTCATTGCTTACGTGTCATCTGATACAACAGCACACAAAGAATCAAAGCAGTTTTCTTATTCCTTCATAACCGAGCTTCAAGAGTGAGCCAAGATGGACTATACAGTAGTGTGTCCACAGACAATAGATACAGCCAACAGTCTGTGCATCTCTCTCTGGTAAAATTTACCACCCAATTCAAACACTACAACCCTGACCCTAGCACCCACGGTTCGCCTTCAGAAACAGCCAGCCAGATCAGCTCTCAGTGACACTGCATCTCCACACGTGTCTTCAAATGACTGCGAGAACTTATTTAAAGTCACTTCCACTCACACGCACTGCTGATTATTTCACTGGCACCATTAAATGTTTTGGCTGCTCAAGGACCGGCACTGTGCTCCTGTGCCCTGCCAGAAAATACCTCGCCCAAATCTCACATGCGAGCCAGCCTAACCTTGGTACCTAGAAATAACTGTGTCCTCTTCTGCAGGAACTGAGGGGTGGAGCCAAGGCACGGGTGTTGGGTGCCATCGGCCAGCTATGTTACCCAAGATAACTCATCATTAATAACCTCTGAGGCGCTGACAAGTGGCAGTAAACAACAGTAAGTGGCCCAGGGCCGTAGAACAACAGCAATAAACTCATAAATAAATACTTACAGTACAGTATAACTGTTACACCAAGGACATAAATTTTACTCTGAGGCAAGATAGCATTGCACTGCAAGTAAAACGCTGTAGCATGGGTGGAAACACTGCAAGTAAAATGCTGTAGCATGGGTGGAAACACCTGTATGCAAACGCTTCACATAGTTCCATTTAATCATACACTGGTTAAAGTAACTTCCAACAGAACACTCAAGCTAAAAAACAAACAGTGGCACATGATTCAACAGCACTCACATGCTATTATAGTGTTTCTAGTATTCTGTATGCTGAAGCAATTTTTCCATAAATTCCTCTGACATGAGTGTGTGCAAAAGTCATGCCACTGCTTGCCACCACTGTACAGATCAAGATCCTGAAACTGAACACGAGTGTTGAAAAAATCTGTACATCTGAAAAATGTCTTAGAAATTTTCAACTTGTGGCTTCAGACAGACTTAATGTTCTCTTTCCACTTTGTTCAACTTGTACTTTGGTTACAAGTGGTGCCAGTATGACAAATTTAAAGCCTAAGCCTGGTACCTCAGTGCTGCTTAACCCCTAAGCATGCAGTTTTGTGTCCTCACAAAAAGGTTGATAAAAATCATCTTATTCCACATCTGCCCACAGCTGTGTTCATGTTATGCATTTATGACAAACATTACTATCTGCAAAAATATGGTTACTTCTATTTTTGTCAAACTAAACTTCTGTACTTCCACCAGAACATTTTCAAACATCCCTAATAATAATTTTTTTAAAGTTTTACCTCAAGACACAAATGAAATAAATTAAGTAATGTCCCTTTAACTGGAGGCAAAACAAAGGAGACAGATGGGGGTTGCAAACTAAACAACTGTGAGACTCTCCCCTGTTTGCCAATTATACTGCTCCCCTCCAAAAGAATAAAGCCATTTATCCCTGAATAAATTAGGCTGTTGATTAAAAACATCCCCAGCTGTCACCTGTGGGCCCTCGTCCAGGGATGACTCACCTCTGTCATCACTGCAGGGCTGCATTTCAACAACACAGCTCCAATAAATGGCTTTTAACCTTTGAGGCTGTCTGCCACGGGAAGCCTGCTGTGTGTTTATGATGGGAGGAGCTGGTCATTACAGCCTATTCACTATGGCTGATAAAACACCATGTCACATTGCTCAAATGGCAACAGACCGCCTGTCAGTTATTGGGTCATACTTTATAGATGGATTAAATAACTGTGTCAGGTCTAGAAAAGAAAACGTAGCAATTACATTATGCTGTGTTTGTGATCAGGGCCTTTATTGTGAAAGAAAGTTAAGACAATAAAGGTGAAGTATTTTGCTTGTCCCAGTACTGTAACAGAGTAGAGGATGAATAAATGAACAGCTCATTATCTAAAAACACTTCTAAACAAATTACCACGCCTGTTACTTATTACATTCAATCAAATCTGCAGCCAAACTGCACAAAGTTATCGAGGCAGAACATCCGCCACGAACATACATGATCACCCCTGAGGGTCAGATGACAAGCTGGCGATGTTATCAGGACACAATCAGCAGTGGAACAACTGCTGCCTCACAAAGCTGGAGAAATTCACTTTATTTTCAAATATAAGCCGGTGATGTTACTGATATCAGAGACCATAGTACGTTTGCTGCGGGTGGTACAAAGGTGACATTTTAGCACCAGAACTTTCTAAGCACATTATTTATTAATGAAAAGTGCAGTAGAGTTCACAGTAGTAACCATTTGCTCAAAACAACAAGACCTAATGAGTTTGTATGCACTACATATGGTACTTTTGTCCAACGTGACCATAGTTACATTCAACTTCAACAAGAGCGGATCAAATTTATAAACAATTTCCTTTCAAAAGATACTTTTATTTGCTTTAAATTAATACCACTGATTGTTCGACTGTGCATGTTGCTACAGTAATTTGATTTACAAAACCAGACAGATGTAAATCATAGCATGTCATCATCATCATCACCATCAACTTTATTTATATAGCACATTTAACACAGCCGAAGCTGACCAAAACAATATCCACAACACCTCTCAAAAAGCAACATAAACCAACAGCAAAACAAAAACATCATACTTAAAACAACCCCCTATCATAAATCACAAGCTCAACAAGACACAGGCTCCTACTGGTTCAAACGCCAGACGGTATAGATGAGTCTTCAAATAGGTTTTAAAAGTGGACAACGAGGGGGCCTGTCTAATATAAAGGGGCAATGCATTCCACAACTTAGGCGCCCCCACAGAAAAAGCTCTGTCCCCCCAGATCTCCGCCTAGCCCTCGGTACCTCCAAGAGCAGCTGGTCAGCCGATCTGAGGCACCGGGAGGGCCTATAGGGATGTAGCAATTCTGTAAGATAAAGGGTGGGGGGCAAACCATTTAAAGATTTAAAAACAAATAAAAGAATCTTAAAATGAATTCTAAAACACACCGGCAGCCAATGCAGGGAAGCCAAAATGGGTGTGATATGGTCACTTTTACGCCCCCCAACCAACAGACGAGCAGCAGCATTTTGGACTCTCTGGAGGCGGGCAAGGGCGACCTGACTGAGCCCAAAATATAGTGCATTACAATAATCCACACGAGACGTGATAAATGCATGTATTACCGTCTCAAAATGCTGCCGTGAAAGAAAGGGCTTCACCTTTGCCAGCTGCCGGAGGTGATAAAAACTGGCCCGTACATGTGTTCTTGTCTTACGGGTCATTTATTGTTCACAGCCCTGTGATAAATAAAATGGGTCAGACTTAGATGTAATTGTTCGATATTACCAACAGGTTCGGTCTGACCTAATGTACGTCATCCAGGGAAGCCTGGAAGTGCAGCATTGTGTTCAATACTTTGGATTTTGTCTGGACAATCTGTGAATATCATCAGATGGGAAGCTCTGTGATTTGCTGTTGTTTAATTTCTAATGTAAGTAATTTAGTGTTGATGTAATCTCTTCTTTAAATACTTACACTACCTGTCCAAAGTCTGGACATACTTTCCCATTCGATTCATTGGGAAGGTGGGTCCAAACCTTTCACTGTTAATACAGTTTGAATCTGAATTTGTGTGTCACATCAGTGGCTAAAAAAACTAAACAAAAAACACTGTTTTAATAGTTAATAACTGTAACATGTAAACTATCCATTCAGGAAATTGCTTAAAACCTGCAGCCCTTCTTGATGGAACCCACAGAAGCTGAAATGTAGCTGAGAATCTCCTGCTTTTGTTCAACTCAGGTGATGTATGTATATTTTGGGGTTGTGAACTTCTGATCAAACAAATCAAGTAATTTCAAGACTTTGATCAACTGATCAGCAAAATTGTTGCCAGTTATTTTTATGAGTAATCGTTGTAGCTCTAGTGCCAATGACAGGTAGCTACATCACAGTGATGTGATGGTTGGACCTGCTGTTTTTGGTTGACCACACTACAGGTGTCCAGCTTTCACTCACATCACAAACACAATGAATGACTCAGTTGGTGAAGGAGTAACGTTAGTAAGACATGGGTCCAGGTGAAGACTTCAAACACACATACTGTAAACGAATCAGTGCGTCGTCCTGCTTACTAAACGCACAACTCCTGACACACACACACAGTTGATTTACAAATCGTTAAAAGCTTGCCTGCTTTTGTGTATTTCCACCGAGGCAACAGTTAAATCCAACTTTCCTCTGTTACAGGTCTCAACGCCACGCCGTAAGAGAAACAAGAGAGCGATCAAATCTGCGGGACTTACCGGCGGAAAGAGACTGGAAGTCAGTAAGTTACTCACTTCCTTGTTTCCCCTGGACTTAAAAGAAACGGCTGCGACCGGAGTGTACTCTCTTTTTTCCACTTGATTCACGGTACAGTTGAAAACTACACGTTAAAGTTGTCGTCCGGTCATTGCCATTAATTTGCTGTTGCTGCTTCCTTCCTTTTCTTTTTCTTCACCTTTTTTGTTTTTTCACATAAAGTTGAGTTTGTTTTTTAAGTCGCGTCATTGTTGCCATCTAGCGGCCTTGGCGGCGCGTTGCATCAACAGGAATAAGGGTTTTTGTACTTAAGATACCAAAAGTAAAAATACTCATTAAGCAGAATGTCACATTATTGTATATCACTGGATCAATGTTTTTGATATATTATTTACATCAAATTTAATGGTGCAATTTTTATTTTTGCTACACTACATATCAACAGAAAGTAGTACTTTTTTACCACAGTACATTTACCTGGTGGCTGTGTTAATGATTACTTTACTAATTAAATTTTGACACATACAAATCATAGAACATGAACAGTTTGGTTTTTAGATTAACAAGAAGTAGAATGAGAGATCATTTTTGAATGTGGGGTTCAGTTATTTTAAAAAACTGCTGAAAATTGCTATTCTAATGCCTAAATTAAGATTGTTTATTAATTCATCCCAATTGTGTAGCTCTCTATTTTTCTCATTTACATTTTTATGTGTGAATAAAAACAACCATATATAAACTTGCCTGCTGTAATTGCCTTCTCTGACATTCTTCCCTTTCATACTAATCAGCGAGAGGTTTCCCTGCTTGCAGAAAGATTTTGCAGGACCCAAACTTAACCATAGTCCGTTTACATTTTTCAGTTTCAGGGGGGTTAGTACTTTTTTACAGATTATTGCTTATTACCAGGCATACAGTAAAGGCACAGAGAAGACAGTCCACAGTTAAATTAAGGCATGTCACTTATAGAATGTTAGTTTGTATAAGAAATTATTTCACTTTGTTTCTATACAAATGTCCTTAAAGTGGGGCAGTACAGTATGTTTGGAAGAAAATCAGAATTCACTCAGTCACAATTAATTATGTGAGGCACATGAAGAGTTTTTACTGTACCTCTACACTGTGTAAAGGAGCCAACACTTTTTGTTTGTTGTTTCAGCAGCACATCACACTTACTGTATGTTAACAGCTCTTACATCTGAACATATAGTAGTTGTCTGCTGTCAAAACACTTTAACGGAGACCATATTATTAATTAGACTTGATTTGCTTGCGGTGTTTGTGGTCTGAAAATTTGATTGACTGATTTTTCTTTTATTAGTTAGTTAGTCAGTTTTGGTCATTTGGATACAGCAGAAACGAGCTATAATCAAATGCTAACATATTACTTTTAAGTTGATTATGGCAAACAGCTAACTATATTTATACATCCAGCAGGTATGAAGTAACATTAGCATTCATTTTGAGGTGTGTTTCTGGACACCTGATGAATGTAAGGCCAATATTAACTCTCATTTTAGCTCTGCTTTTGGTCACCACCTACTCCTGAGGGAAATACCTGGCTCTTTAGTTACTAAATGTTCCACTTCGTTCAGAAACTAGTTGCTGACTTCAGAGCTTTTTCGCAAAAACAGCTGCCTGTTGCTGCTATAAACACCTGGTATCCAGAAACATGAAAATGAACATATACCATCAAATGTAAATCAGATTTTTGTCATTTAAAGGCTATAACAAGTTCTTTATTTCATTAGGTGAAGAACACCCCTCTGCCTCACACAGAGAAACTGCACACAGGTTGCTGAGGTATGAAACAAGCCTTACACAGCTTTCCTTAATCCCACAGCAACACTAAGCTGTTCCCAGCATCAGACCGGCACTGGTTGCTGCCAGACAGCACGGTGAGGCTGATGTGAGTCTGGCAAGCTATCAAGAAAATGTGGAGCAGCTCTCTGTCCCATCATGCAACAGGACATGAGAAGCTAGTCTGTGTTGCAGTATAAGAAGGTAGTGTTCACTAAAGACCAGCGACCACGTCACCCCTCCTCGTCTCCTCGTCTTCTCTCCCTCACCACCTCTCCCACATCCAAAAATCTTTTTTTTTAAACATTTGAAATTATGTAATGGTTTTAAAAATACATATATCTGGATGCTCTGTGAGGCCCTCTGTCTTCACTGATTCAATAGGTGTCCTATCACCAATGACCAGCTTGGATTTTCAAACCTTGCTGACAAAAAAGTCCTTGTCCACTTTAAAACACATTCATCTTATGAGATTAAACAAATGGAGAAGAAACGGGTGAAAAGGTTTGTGTGCAGTAACATTGGCTGCATAAGGCTGTTGGCAGTCAGACATAAATAGAGAGAAGGTTGTTAAAATGTACATGCTGTGACCAGTTTAATTCCATATCTAAATAAATGATTTGATAAAACAGGAATGTTTCCTTCATGTAGTTTCCATGGAAGAAGAGTGTGCACAGTCACAAATGATGGATGATGAGGTGAATGGGTTTATAGAGTGTGCAGCCGTCTCTCACTTTTCTCTTACTCTGTATCTCTTGTTCACTTTCTCCCAAAGATTTACTGAAAAAGAGGAAAGTATTTGCTGTTATTATGACTCATAAACCTAGTGAAACACAAAACTATGCTTACATTTTTCACTTTAGGCCCCACTGACCATGGATTACATTTCATTAATGAAAAAACTATCCGATTCAGATTTATTGGCAAAGTATATTTAAACACACAAGGAATTTGACTCTGGTACAGACACTCTGAGGCAACAATAAGATAAGAAATATAAAATAAAAATATCTGCATTCAAAATATTAAAAAGTCAATCTATTAATAAATAAATATATACAGTACATATATGTATTCACATTGTGCTAGAAGAGCTTTCAGACTGATATATACAGTGATTATATTTACAATTTATTGCATAACATATGATACCATGTTCAACTATCCAAGTGTTTATAAAGTAGCTAAAGGTTGTTGCAACTCAACTGTCTCCAACATAATGTTAATGCATGAGTAATATGCTAACATATTAAAATAAAGCATAAAGCAGCTCTTCACTCCTATGAAGAGGCTGTAAAGTAAAAAATGCAGCTCTCCCACACAAACCCGTGCTTGTACTTCTATCTTTGTGAAGACATTCACTGACATAATGCATTCCGCAGCCCTAATTCTAACCCTAATTCTAACCTGGACCCTAAAACCAAGTCTTAATCCTCAAAACGCTATTTCAGAAAGTGAGGTCTGACAAAAATGTCCTCTGTAGTGAAGAATGCTTTTTGGGTCCTCACTATCTAGCAAGTACACACACACACTCACACCACATTCAGTTAAGAGATATTTGCAATTGCAAATTAGGTGGTTGTATGTACTCTATATGTGCATTAATACTCAGCTGGGAGCCAGCTATTTTCATTACAGTTATGTTTATACTTATTCGTACATGTAGTTTCTAAATCTGTATATGTAAATGTGTTTTTAAAATGTCTATACTGTAGTGTGTATGTTTACCTCCTGACTACCATATTTATGGGTTTTTGAGAAAGTTTGTGTACAGTATATTTAAAAGGCATAGCATGCTACAGTAGCAGCTCTCCGAGGCTATACTAAGGCTCAGTTTGTTTTTAGCTAAATTCTAACATAGTATCTTAGCTTTGCATGACCACATGCTAACATTCGTTAATTAGCACAAAAATAAAACTGCCACTAGGGATTATGGGAATTAATGTCACAAGTTTTCAAACAAAAATTTTGGACAAAATAATCATCAGTTCAATTAAGTTCACCAGACATTTCACTCAAATTCACAAATGCGAACCTCAAGTCATAAGGAGTCATCATCTAGCAGCCATTGATATCTACAAAATTTCATGGTAATCCAGGCAATAGTTTATCCAGTGTCACTAAAAGCCACCTGTGTTGCGGTGCTAAAGGCAAAGCCAGGGCATCACCTGATTAAGTGGGGGTCATCCACTGGGGACCATAAATACCTGAACAAAATGTTATTTTAATCTAGTAGTTGTTGAGATAGTTCAGTGTGGCCCGTGGCAGCCAGCCAAACACACATCGACCTTACAGTCCCTATAGCCACGTTGCTAGCATGGCTAAAGATCTTAAATACGCTATAATTTGTATTGTGGTTTGAGTCATTTGAGCCACCCATCAAGTCAAATTGTCAAATCTATGTTTATCTGTGTGTATATGGGTGGGTTCATATGTGTATGTGAACAGAAAACACATCAATCAAAACAAACGCCTCAGCACTTTTCCCAAGCTTGAAATTTGTCACCCCCAAGAAAAAGCCTCAGCCTGGTTCCGGCTTTTGTCGGCAGTGTTCCAACTTCTTTCCAGCGTGCTCATATTTGGATGATGAAAACAAGTGTCTCTGTGTTGACTTCCCTTGCCCACTCTGACAGGTCTTACCAGGTCTTGCCACTTGGTACAAGACAGATAAATACCAACGCACAAATACAGAAAGAGTCATTTTAAGTGAACATGTTAATTCACATTCATTTCTCCCAGTTATTCACATATAGACAACAGAAGGGTCATTCATGATTGAACTTGCATCTACACAATAACGTGCAATCAAAGTGCTTTACGCTATTGCCCATTCACCCTCTTACTCACTGGTGATATCACCAGGAGTAACAAGGGGTTACTAACCTTTGCTCAAGGACACTTTGACATGTGGATTGGAAAAGGCAGGGATCGAACCACCAACCCTACGGTTAGGGGAAAACTGACCCTCTCTGTCTCCGAGCCACAGCCATCCCAACAAGTGAGTGAGTAATAAGTGTGCTGTTGAATCGACTGTAAATGCATCAGCCCTGTTCTTGTGAGGCCAGACTGTAGAGATGAGATGTATCACTGTGTAAGTGCAGCAGTGCAGAAACACTTGGACCATCTGACACCAGTGAACAGCAGCAGGTATTCTCTCTTCTTTTTAAAGATTTAGTCTGATTCTTTTTTATTCAAAGCTGTTTGTATGACCTCACCACCTGGCAGGAAAGAACCACATCTTTCTCTCCCCGCTCTCAACCCCTCCCTCACTCTGTCTCCTTCCAACATCTAAATGCCTGGTAGAGTTTGAATAAAGCTTCTTTCTGCTCTCCTACTCAGGCCGGAGTGAGAGGCCCCTGGAGTCGCTGGCACTGGGAGCGTTTGAGCATTAATGGTACGTTCACACTGGACTCCCTAACAAGGAATACTGTGAAGGGGTTTCAGGGGATTCTTTACGGATCCTCATCCTCTTCTTCAGGCTCAGGTATTCAATCAGGTACACAAAAGTCAAGCCACAGGTAAATTTGGAAAGTTTCTTTTCCATTACAAAGTAGCTTTGTTTTCTGGGAAATGAAACATGAAGGATATCACATCTGACAAAACAGATGCGTGATTAGATTTTTAGCTTTGTCATTTATTTGCTGGAAGTCAGCTGTGGTTTCTGAATTTTGTTGAGTTGACTTTAGTGACATGTTAGTTAATGGAGTTCGTTTCTCTTTACAACTAACTTGATTTTAACTTGTTGGTTTAATTTCAGTACCTTTTATAACTTTGCTTGGAAAAGTATATGTCACTGGTAAAAGTTTTTGGGAACAGGAAATTGTCTTTCATGTGATTATTTATATTCAATGAAACTGTTTTGCTTCTGACTTCTTAAACCATACAACTCAGCTTAACATGATTACAATGATATATCGCTGATTGTGTGACAGTACAAGGATTCATTTTTATCAAAGTCCAATAAATCTAGAGTCAGACCTTGAATCCGTGAAGGTGTTTAAATGGTAAAAGAAAAAATGTTTGCTTTGGCTTTGAATTCAAATTCGGAGGAGTGCAGCTTAGCAGTAGAAAACAGTATTAGGAAAACAGCATTATTCATACAGATCTAGTGTCAAGATTGACATCCTGTTACTATGGTAACGTCAGGCGGTGCAAGCACGTGTTGTGAATTGTAATTCTCAGATGCTATAAATGAGAAAATAATTGACAATAGCTTCAATTACAACACACATTTTTATGCTTTTTTATTGTTCAGACCGAACACACAGTTGGAGACCTTGTTAAAGCCATTGGTGTGTGTGTGTCTGTCTACTTGTGTGTGAAACATTTCACCCACTTGTGTGCATTGTGGTTATGGTCAGACTGCTGAGTGTGCATGCATGTACTAATGAACCTATATTCACCTGTGAAGGTGAAAGTTCCTCTTCCATTTGTCTCACTCTATATCATCTCTTTGCTTTCTCAAACACGGGCCTTACAGAACGTCTCGGTACTGCCATATGTCTACAAGCACACATACATTTTCATTACTAGGGAGCATCGGACATGTGCTCCCACACATCCCCGCTGTCATCTATGTGTCTATGTTTCTGTGTGTGCATGTGTATCAATGTTGACTCTGTTCTGCTGCTGTGGTTCTCTATAGAGAGTTGGCGAGGAGGTGGATGGAAGGGGGGGGGCTTCCCTGCATGCCCGTCCCATGTTTACCTTGGCAGTGTTGCACCCCCCAAGGCCCTGCCCCTGTCTGTTGTTGAAACAAACCAAGGCCTTATTTTCCTCCACCTCAGCTGAGAGCGGAACATACCAGAGCAGCTGAGCACAGGAGCGGCAGCCACCTCACCAGCTGAATGGACACACTGTAGAGATTGGTTTGAACTGCCCTGGCCTGGTCGCTCACAAATGCTGGTGCACATTATGAAGCGGCCACAGTTTAAACTATGCATTTAAAGAGAGCTAATGATCCACTCAGTGAGATTTTGGTTGGCTTGGTTTGAGAAATGGGGGAAGGTTTTGCTGTGTGGGTTGATGGCTGAATGGTTATTGCTGTCTTTATCTGCTGTTGGGAGGCCTGCCTTGACTGTGGCATATGACACAGTCATTTCAAGTACAAGAAAAAAAAGAAAAGCATAGCCAGAAAAATGTACTATTAATGAGTCACCTTTTAATTTACAATGCACAGAATATTCCAATTTAACCCACTATTTCTAGGACTCACAAGAGGAAATACTGGTCAAAACATTAGAAAATGTTTTGCAAATGGTTAAAGCCTTAACTTGAGGCTGAAAAGCACTGTTACACTGCACTTCTCCAGCTGAAAGGCTGTTGTACTTCTAACTACTAGTTGTGTGTTAACTGTTAAGTTGCCCTTTAATGGAGATAAACTTCATATCTTTTGTAGCCTGCACATCTTAACGCTTTTTATTCTGGCAGATGAGTGACTCAACAACAAACATATTGCCAAGATTGTGGCTGTGCAGCCACAATAGAGTTTAAGTTCTCTGACAAGAAAGAAAAAGGTCGTGCATATCAAAAGTCATATAGCAAAGGCTGTGTTCATAGCTCAATGGTTTGAACCAATTTTAAACAATCATCCAAAAAGAAATCCATCACTGACAATGCAGAAACACCAGTGCCGTATTAACTCTCACTTCAGATTTTATGGCACATCCCACAAGCACAAAAGTAGTTCTTGTTCTGAAGTGATTTTAGAAAAACAGAAATGTGTCATTAATTCAGAAAAGATTGACAAAGAGGATAAGCCTAAAAATGTTTGAAAATCCAGGTGTAACTGTAGAAAAAATAGGAATAACTCAGACAGTTCCAGAATAGACCAGATAAGTCAGAAGTCAGGAATGTCCACCAAAAGTAAAGAATACCAGAAATGAGTTGGAGAACATCGAAGGGAGGACTGAACACCACAAACTGATAATAGCAGTGTGTGATTATTCCAGGGTACATTTCTCCATCTATCTACACAAACTGTGTGATATTTTGTGTTTCCGCCCAGACTGGGCCAACATCCACTCTCAGACAGATCTTAGACAGCAGAGCAAACATTAGTCCTGCTGTACTGTGTGGCCTGGGTCTGTGAAATACTATCCCCCAAGGTCGGCCCATTTGCATGTCAGGTTATATCCATTTTATCAGTAAAGCACACCGGACTGAACAAACCTGCACAAACAAAGATTGATCAAGTGATTGATTGTGTGTTAAATGTAGTATGCTCATAGATTATAACATTTTGGTTATGCTGAGTCAACCAGAACAGCTATGCATGTAGCTCTCATTTGGCCTTTTGCCACCAGGTTACCAAGTACAGCCACTGCAAACACTCCAGGTTTACTGGTTGTAAATGTCTCTCTGTGGCTGTTCGGTATGAAATGCGAGCGTTCTGCAGCACAGAACAATGAAGGTTCAGTGTGTGTGACTGTGCCGCACATCACAGCAGTGGAAAGTTGAGAGAAAATAAGCAGTGTGGTAATCAGCATTTGACCGCCTTGGGTTTGTGAAGAGGCCAGCTGTTGATATTAGGGTATATTTGAGATTGCATTTAACTCTTGTTATCCAAAAGTACATTATCTGAGCTATATTAATTACATTAGATACAATTAGCTACATTACTGGACTTTAAATGGCAATTTATAGAAAATGTCCTTGCAAATGCAGCTAACTAAGAAAAGCAAAAGCCTACAACTACACTAGCAGCTCTGTGAGGCTGTGTTTAGGTACCATGGTGTTTTAAACTAAATACTAATTTGAGAATGCTAACATGCTCACCACGGCAATGCTAACATATTGATGTTTAGCAGTTATCATGCTTTCCATGGTGATCAAGTAGTAAAAAGACAAATGTGAAAAGCAGTGACACTGTTCACACAGAAAAATTTGTAAACTTTTCATGCAAAGCATGCTAACATGCTTTCATTTCTAATTAGCAGTGGCTGGTGAAAATGTCATTAGTTCTGCAGGTGTTTGGTCATAAACTAAAGTACAGGTCAAATTTAAAAATTTATAGTATACTACATGCAGACAAATAGATAAGGAGAGAGTTTCCACTCTGTGGAAACGCCCAAGCAAACACACACATCAACAGAAACAATTCAGTTCAATTCAGTTTTACCTGTATAGCGCCAAATCACAACAAAAGTCGCCGCAGGAGACTTTACAAAGTAAGGTCTAGGCCGTACTACTATTTTTATTATAGAGAAAACCCAACAAAGTTAGTGTGATTTTAAAAAAACTAGAAATTTCATTACAAGCATTCAAATAGCATTCAGTAGCTGCCTGTGCTTCATGTCAGTGTTTGATTGACTTTATTTAATTTTTTGCTTTGCTGTCACTTTGGGTGTTTTTCAGGTAACAATGACTCCCCTGCTTCTGCTGTGTGTGTCCTTGCCACTCATCTCTGCAACAATCTCATTCAAAAATCCCAAAGGTAAGCACTTGCTTGCTTTAATTTAAAAACTTGTCTCCAGACTTCTTGGAAATGTCAAACTATTTGTAGACAACAAAAAAAATAATATAGCGCTATGTGCTGTTAGTGTGTGTGATTAAAAGAGCTCACAAGATCATTATGACTGAAAACATCCGCACTACGTATTAGATTCCTCATTAACTAATAAAAACCAATCAGCCTTGACCTACTGTATCTGTTCCCCAGGTTTGGATGGCACATTGCATGTCAGCATCCCTGTGGAGGTGCCTCTTCGTCCTCTGCTGGGAGGTAAGGTAGTGATACCATGCTACTTCCAAGACAACACTGTCAACGACCCCGGAGCCCCAACCGTCACTCCAATGTCCTACATCAAATGGACCTATGTCACCAAGGAAAATGCCACCACAATCCTGGTGGCATCCAAAGGACAAGTTCATGTGGAAACAGAGTATATGGACAGAGTGACGATGGTCAACTACCCCCTGGTGCCCATGGATGCCAGTGTGGAAATCACAGAGCTGAGGTCCAAAGATTCTGGCACCTACCGCTGCGAGGTGATACATGGCATTGAGGATAACTACGACTCTGTGGACATCCAGGTTCAGGGTATGCTACAGAAACAATGTCATTCAGTATAGTTTACCACAAAATAAATGTAAGTTTCATGGCTGTTTGTCAAAATGCCAGACTGCTATGAATTCTCTCATTCTGTCAACTAAAACATAAGACAATTTTTTTCACCTCCTGAAAAAAGCTCATTTCTACAAACATGTTGTGTTCTAGTATATGTGTTCTACCATTCTATAGTTTCCTCATGTACTCTCCATGCCTATGCATAATGTGCTGCTACTACTTTCTCTAGTGAAGGTCCAGAAGGTCTAAAGGAAATCTCTGTTAAAAAGTAAATAAATAAAAATAAAAAATCTGGCTGAAGACACTTTGAACCTTTGAAAGGTCTATTTAAAACACTTACCTCTGGAAACTACATCTGGTGAAACGCAGTAGCTGTAAAACTGAAAGAGCAGATCTACTGGTAGATCACAGTTCTTCTGCTCCATTTCTGTCTCACAGGCATTGTATTCCACTACCGAGCCATCTCCACCCGCTACACCCTGACGTTTGAGAAGGCCAAGGCGGCCTGTATTCAGAACAGTGCCACCATTGCCACTCCAGCCCAGCTCCAGGCTGCCTACGATGATGGATACCACCAGTGTGATGCTGGATGGCTCTCTGATCAGACTGTTAGGTAGCTTTCATCCATCCAGCTACCAAACTCCAAAATGTTTATTTATTGAAGGATAACTATGAACAGGTTGCCATCAAACAAAGTCACACTCACACCTAGGAGCAATTTAATGTTTCCACTTCAACCAAACCAGAAAGTTATTGGACTGTGGAAGGAAACCAGAGCACCCAGAGAAAACTACACAGACACAAGAAGAACAAAGTCCATGAAGAAAGGGTCAGCTAAAAGATACAACACTGTTCAAGGTTAACAAGCTAGCTGTTACAGTACATGTTGTCCACCCTCATTTAGTGCAAGTGGTGCATCTGGAGAGATGTCTGAACAATGCCTACCTTTACACATCTGAAAGCAACAGGCAAATGCTACAAAAGTGGATGCAGTTATCAGATTGTGAGTTATGGAAAGTCACAAAACCTGTCCGACGCAGCCTCCCACTTCATTAAAGTGTGAGCTAGTGTGTCTCAGCCACTGTTTGACAATTAACCAAGAACTACTGAAGCCACGTTATATTATTGAACTATATGTTATATTGTTTATGGATTTTATTTTTATAAAATGTATAATAATAAAGTGACAATTAACCAAGAACTACTGAAGCCACGTTATATTATTGAACTATATGTTATATTGTTTATGGATTTTATTCTTATAAAATGTATAATAATAATAAAGTATGAAATAATAATAATAAATTTATTATATATTGTAAGTAAAATAATAACAATAATAAATAAACAGCAATTTGTAAAATTTCTAAATTGTGAGTTTGGGGTTAAAGTGTGTTGAGCATTTAATATGTTGGCTGTTACTGGACCCCAGTCTAAATATTCTGTGCCACAGTGAAGCTAATGTCTCAGCTTCCAGAGGGACGTTATTTTGCAAAAGTGCAATAAAAGACAGTAAAAGAGTTGATGTTGTTACAGGTTTTTCATAAGTCCACCTCTCTTGACCTCTCAAGGTACCCCATCCATGAACCAAGGGAGCGTTGCTATGGAGACAAGGAGACCTTCCCAGGTGTGAGGACCTATGGAGTCAGAGATGTCAACGAGACCTATGACGTGTACTGTTTTGCTGAGAAGATGTCAGGTACAGACACCTAATGATGACAGCACAAAGAGACTAGACCCTCATGACACCTCTACTGTACACACAACTGTACAGTATAGTGTAAATGTGTTTGCCTCACTCTCCTCCCAGGCAGAGTCTTCTACTCCATGTCTGTGGAGAAGTTTACTTTCTATGAAGCAGCAGATCAGTGTGCCAAACTTGATGCACGGCTCGCTACCACTGGAGAGCTTTACCTGGCCTGGAAGGCTGGCATGGATGTATGTAACGGTGGTTGGCTGGCAGACAGGAGCGTGCGCTACCCCATCAACATTGCCAGGCCTCAGTGTGGAGGGGGGCTTCTAGGAGTGAGAACCATCTACTTGTTCCCCAACCAGACAGGATACCCCTACCCAGACTCTCGCTATGAGGCTATCTGCTTCCGAGGTAAATTACAGATCCTTGTGATTTTCAGTGCATTCTGATAAATCCTTTTGTGATTAAATGGCTGCTTAACTAAGACATCATTTCTGAAATGTCAAGGGCCTTAGCCAGGCATAGGTACATTTCAACCTCCTGCTGACTGTTAAGGCTAAATAAAAACATGTCAATCATGTGATCTGGTTTCCTCAGCTGGTGAGGATGAAGATGTTGTGCCTGTGAGGACCACACCTTTCCCAGACATCATCACTTTAACACCGGCCCCTGGGGCACATCCGTTTCTCACCCCCCCACCTGAGGGTGAGGAGATCAGGGGTGGAGATGTGGACACCCTCTACCCTCTGCCCGTCCCTCCTGTGATACGTAAGCCTGGACTCCATCTGACTGTCACAGATGCTGCCATGGCTCCCACAGGTAAGTTGATTACTTTATGTGCCTAATCAATAACAAAATCCTATACGAGAAAATATGTTTCTTTAAACTGTAAGAAAAACTTCTTTAAAAGGACACACCACCAAAAAGCAAGTACAAGAACATCTGGCTTTGCCATTACAGTCGCTCCATCTTTTTGGGGATGCTAATGGATTTTAGTTAGGTCATTAAAATGTGGACAAAAGGCTGCTGCACATTTTGAACTCATTTAAAAGAGCTATTGTAATAAGGTAACCATATCGATTTGCCCCATTCAAATACCTATTTGGTCAATGAAATATTAAAAAAAAGTGAAATATTGAATTGATGGAGTATCACCGCTGCAGCAAAAACTTTGTTACCCTAATTAAAAAATTTATAGAAATAAGCTGCCATAGGAGTCCTAACAATATCGTATTAGCATTCAGCAAATCCACATACTCAAGTAGCAAAATTGTTGCTAAAAACACAAAATCCTGTCGTGCATTCATGTGGCTCATTTAGTGAAATTTCTTCCTTCCCTCTGTATCTTTTCCCAGGTGTGGTGTTTCACTATCGGCCCATCACTGGTCGCTACACTCTGACCTTTCTTGAGGCTCGGCAGGCCTGCCAGAGTATCGATGCAGTCATTGCCAGTCCCCGGCAGCTGCAGGCAGCCTTCGAGAAAGGCCTGCACCAATGTGATGCTGGCTGGCTCAGTGACCAGACTGTTAGGTGGGCTGGAGGAATGTGCACCACAGACTGATACTGTATATCAATATGTTTAACAATCTGTTACATTGGTTGGAAACATGTCATTTTGCAAATTAAAGCTAAGTTCTGAAGGGATATTACAGCAAACCAAAGCCTTACAATTCTTTACCATCATTCTCTTTTATGCTCAGGTATCCAATTGTGTCGCCCAGAGATAACTGTGCAGGTAATCTGCCATACTTTCCAGGAGTCAGGTCCTACGGCCTGAGGCCAGCCAGTGAACACTATGATGTATTTTGTTATGTGGAGCGTCTCCAAGGTGAGTAGCATGAACGTGTAACACTCTAAAACAAGCAAATGGCTAGAATTTATATTTACTGTCAACTTGTATTTCAAACCATATCTCTTCTCAATGCTGTTGAATGCTCCTTCAACCAGGTGAGGTGTTCTTCACTACTGACTATGACAACTTCTCCTATGAGGAGGCTGTGCAGCACTGCCAGAAACTGAACACCACCCTGGCCACCACTGGCCAGCTGTATGCTGCCTGGAAACAAGGCCTTGACAAGTGCCGCCCAGGCTGGCTGATGGACCGCAGCGTCCGCTACCCCATCACGACCCCCACAATCCAGTGTGGCGGTGGCCAGGCAGGGGTCCACATCATCTACGCCTATCCCAACCAGACAGGATTCCCCGATGAGCACTCGCGCTATGACGCCTACTGCTTCAAAGGTAGGAAAGAATTAGTTTAAACTCAAGACTTAAACGGAAAAAAGAAACTCAGCTGAATCCCAGTAATGTACCGTAAGAGGATGAGAGAAGTGCATATGTGCACGTAGACACTATTTGAAACTTAAGCCTGAAACTTAGAATCTGAGTACAAACTGGTTCCTAACTTTTTGTGATTACAAAGCAGATATAGCTACAGTATTTGCAGTTTATTGACTTGATGTGACACAATATCTAAGCTTCTTAATATAATATCTAATATCTAAGCTGTCCTTTCCCAAATGGTACAACATAGGAATAAACATCTGCAGTTGCCAGGAAGCAGAGGTGTATTGCTGTATTGTCATTTATAATCATCTTTTTAAGATGAGATTATGATGTGCATTGATATCACTATTAAATGAATAGCAGTAGCAGGGCTAGTGTTTGAGTCTGTTTCTTATAGACAGTATTCTGCTGTCTCCGCTTATCATTTTTCAGCTGGAATTCCTGTTGCCCGTGTTGAAAATGAAACCAGTGTCAATGTGACGATAGTGACGGAGGAAGTTATCAACAAGACAGCAGTCACAGCTGATCACTTTGCTCCCTCTGGTACGATACATAAAGAGCTTGTTCTTAGTCTGGTGTTAGAGTTCTAACATTTGTCCATATGTTTTCACATGATACTGCTTCACACATATCCAAAATAGTTTGTTTTTTTAAGTTACCACTGATATTTCTATGTATCTTTTCATATTGAGCCAACGATCCATTTGCACTGTGAGATTTGTAATTATTCCCATCCTTGTTGGAAATTTTACACTTTTCATTTGTTTGTTAGTCTACAATGAAACTGAAGCTGAAATAGAGGAGTTTATCAACAAGACAACCATCACAACACATGGATTTGCTCGTCCTGGTAAGAAAGCTGGAAAGACTTCTCGTTGTTAGCCGCATACAATCATCAAAATTGAGATGTTTTCTTGTAAAATGGTAACAAAATGATTCGGAGCTGCTTTCTGATTTTAAGGAGTTTTAATTAACAGGATGTTAATGAGAAAACATTTTCAGTTGCTAGATTGTGAAAAATCTGTTTGACTGGTTTGACCATTTGATCACTTCTAAAAACAGCTACAGATGATTTGGACCAAGATACTTTTATTAACCGCTTTTTAACACTTACATCTCAGACTTGATGGCGTAAAACACTTTATTAAATGAATGATGACTGCAGACTTGATTGCTTGTTTTAGAAAGTCAGAAACCCACGCATATTCATGAATGTTTAATAACATTTGTCAGTGATTTATCACCAAATAAAAAGGATGTGAAAATGTGATTTTTCACAATCTGGCAAAGCAAAATGTGTTTTTTGAAGCTTTAAGAATTCTTTTATCCAAACTCTCACCAGGGAGACCCACTCTACCTGCAGTCTCTGTTGAAGTGTCAAGCTCTGGTTCTACTAGCGGTGAGATCTCGAGGGGATCCAGCACCTCCGGCACCAGTGGTGACATCTCTGGTTCAGGACAGGGCATCATCTATAGTGGACACAGTGACATCTTCTCTGGAGACCAGTCTGCCTCTGGAGGTCCCCAGGAGGCAGAAGGAGGAAGTACTGTCATCTTCACATCTGGAGAACTGGGTAGTGCTTCTGGATCTGGGGAAGAGCAATCTGGCTTCAGGATATCAGGATCAGGTTTAATCAGTGGAAGTGGTGACTTCAGTGGTAGCGGCGGAGACGAGACGCTCATCATGCTGGATGGAAAGATGGTGGAAGTAAGAATCCACCAAGAATCCACTCAGCAGCAGCAGTTAGGCCAGGGAGGCATCGAGGTAATAGAACTGAGTGCGTCTGGATCAGGAAGTGTGTCGGGGTCAGGCTCTGGTGGATTTTCTGGCATCTCATTTGTTGAGCACAGTGCAGTTGACCTGACAGTTCAGCCATCTGGTGAGCAGGAAGTGTCTGGATATCGTCCCTTTGGGTCAGGGTTCCACAGTGGCTTTCCCAGTGGTTTTCCTTCTGGTGTTTCAGGCAGTGGTTCTGCCTCTGGAGACTCTTTCAAGCAGCGTGGTGATGTCATCTACATAACAGATGATGAGACAATTGAAGTGACCATAGCACCACTGGTACACCACCCTCAGCAAGGCCGGGGGGTGGTGGAGATAAGCGGGGAAGGAACTGTGTCTGGGATCCACCATGAATTCAGTGGCGCTTTAGACCGAAGCTCGCACCCTTCAGGAAGTGGATCTACGATGACTTACACAGAGGACATTACCAGCCTTGACCAATCAGGACTCGGGGAAGAGGAACAGCACGGCCAAGAAGAACCCACACTTTATGTAGTGACTCCTAATGCAACCTACACCAGCCCAACTACAGCACCATCAGTGTCAGTGGCAACCCCTGCTGTTGTGGCGCAGCCTGTAGTAGTGGAAGGTAACTGTGCTGCTACAATCCTATAACATAAAAGCCATCGCGGTCACATATCTTGGCAGCTCTCCTTGTAATGTGGCACCACTGAACTGGAACTGCATTAGTCACTATTTTCAAAGTAAAAGTTCCTTCTTTCTGCTATCAGCCTCTGCAGACCCCTGTGATCCAAACCCCTGCAGCTCAGGATCCTGCTCTGTGCAGGGAGCACTCGCTGTGTGTCAGTGTCCCAGCGGCTTCACTGGAGAAAACTGCTCAGCGCGTGAGTCACCAAACACACAAGACACTAGTAATCATGACACTTATCTGAAAGACTATAAAGAGTTGGATACAGATACAGAGCAACCATATTTTATGTATTTTGTATGCAGTGGTGCAGGGCTGTGCTGAAGGCTGGTCAGAGTTCATGGGCAGCTGTTACCTTCACGTTGAGGAGCGACAGATGTGGTCTGAGGCTGAGCAGCACTGTCAGGAGCTCAACGCCCACCTGGTCAGCATCAGCTCCCAGGAGGAGCAGCAGTTTGTAAACTGTGAGTAGTTGATTGCAGTGTTCATTTTGGCATCTGATTTTGACTTATGAATCTTTTGACAAATATTAGTTTGTCCAATTTTTGCCAGTCTCACTGACTAGTCTAGTTTTATTCTAAAAAATTTTAGAAGGGTTTTTTTTTTTACACTTTTTTGTCTTCTAAGCATTTTGAGGCTTTGTTGTGCACACTTACCATGGTTACATGTGTTCTTTTTTTGCAAGACTACTGAAAAACATTCATAATTCATGGCAATGAGCTAAAATCTCTTTTTCTTTGCAATACAGCCAATGGTCAGGAATACCAGTGGATCGGACTCAGTGACCAAGCTGTTGAGAATGAATTCCACTGGACAGATGACAGTCCTTTGGTGAGTTTGGTTGGAAACTGTCTGCCATAGTCAGTAATGCACTCATGAGGCCACAGCTACTACATTAACATGTTCAATGGCTGCTTTGTTTTGTATGACACTCCACCCAGACCTTTGTGAACTGGAGACCCAACCAGCCAGATAACTATTTCGTCTCTGAGGAGGACTGTGTGGTGATGATCTGGCAAGAGGGCGGACAGTGGAATGATGTGCCCTGCAACTACTACCTTCCCTTCACCTGCAAGACCCGACCTGGTACAGAGACTTACTGGGCTGGAATATGTCTGGTCAAGAAGTGACCTGGAAGTATTTTTAATTGGAAAATGTTCTTGGAATACTGGAACATACAGCTGGCTTACTGAAAAAACAGTGAGCTAGGGTACACCACAACACTATCTGCACATGCATTGATTCCCACTACGTCTTCCTGCACTGCAATGAACTTTGCTAGATTTCAAAGGTTCACCAAATGGCACAGTAAAATAACTGCTAATGGCCTGCGCTGTCAATTTATTGATTGGTTGTGGTGCTGGAAAAGAATGTGCAAAGATGTATTGTGTTTGTTATATTTCTTTGCATTGACATACCAAGATATTAGCAGCAAGAATACGCATAAACAAAAATGAACTAGCAAGTTTTGTGACCAGCAGCTGTTGCTTGATGGTGTCTGCTTATTAATATGTTTTAATTTGTTTTTCAGTCATGTGCGGAGCGCCCCCTGAGGTAGAGCATGGCCAGCCAATGGGCAGCAGAACAGAGCCCTACCCAGTCAACTCTATTGTCCGCTACCAGTGTGACGCAGGCTACACACAGCGTCACCTGGCTGTTATACACTGTATGGCAAACGGACAATGGGAAGAGCCACAAGTGGAATGCACAGAAGGTAAGCTTGCAGGGAAATGCTGAAATATAGATTTACCATCTGTAGAGTAAGTATTTTAAAACAACAGAATGAACTCACATTACAGCTGCCATCAGCAGTTTTAGCCACCAACAAAGTAGGAGCAGATACAATATAAAATAATAAAACAAATATATAAACAAAGCAATATATTACAAATATATTTTTGGCACAAATGCTTCTACATAATGGACTTTTTTGCAAGACCTCTAATAATACATGCTAACACGGTTCAAAAGTGACTTATAAAATTTGGTGGCTCCAACATAAATATGTGGTGTGCTTTGGTGAATTTATTGTTGCTTGTTACAGGGTTACAGCATAGCTCAAGCCATGATAGCTTGCTGCTGGTGACATGATGTACCTGCCATGGCTATGTCGTAGCGGATGCGTGCTTCCAATAGTCTCTTTTCCACTGCAAACCTGCTGCTCACCGTGTTTGCTGTTCATCACAGTAAATGACTGTGTCTAAACAAGGTGTTTGCATGATGAAGTCTACTCTTCATTTCTGAGATAAGGCAAAATCAATAGAACTAATTATATACGGCATGTGTATACTTAGCCCAATGTTACATATCACAAAGTATGTAATACACACACTGTGGGGGAGTATAAATGCAGGACATTCATGTTGAGGGGTTGATATAAACAAATCAAAACCTAGTGGGCGCTTATGACCACACTCATTCAGAAACATTCTGAGCCAACAGAGAGGAAGCACAAGCATCAACAGTCCCTTGTCAGAGTTAAAATGGGGACATTGTAGTTCGGTGTCGATATAAAACCCTGGGATACCTGAGCACCCCAAGTGGATGTTTTTAAGACCCATGGAGGAAACTTAACCATAGAACAAATGGGGCATAAATTGTAATGTGTGTGAAACTCAGAATCAGTGAGGCAGGTGTAATATTTTGTACACAGAAAATCCATTTCAGTGTTACACTGATGAAAAGCCTATGGCAGCTCTTGAAATAGATCCTTCCGACACACCACTAACTTTAGGGTAATACATCCTTTAGAGACTCATGTTTATATGATATCATCAGTATGCATACCTTTTCTCCCCCAGCTGGCACCAACAGTAGCAGGCTACACAAAAGATCCCTTCGGAGAAGAAGTAAAGGGGTCAGCCACCAACAGGAACAGAGGAAGCTGCACTGAGCAGGACTGAAAAGACATACAACAGAGAGCCACAAAGGACCCCTCTTAATAAGAAGCATGGACACTAATGCAAATGTCCAACCAAAAAGATAACATTCCCTACCACGCATATACAAAAGCACACTTAGACAGCAATGGTATTATTAACAGATCTTTTGGATCATTGCACATCACCCTACACCCTCTGAGGACAGTTTTTCTATGTATTTATAGCAGATAATTTATAGCTGTGATCCAGAATTTGGAAGTCATTTCAAAGCAATTTTCTGCAATCAGCAGCCAGCTCTGCACAAAATGTAATGTAGATAAACTTAGGAAATAGTGATTTTAAAAAAGTGACACAAAATTAAAAACAGCCCAATAATAAGGTTTCAATTTCAGCTGGATTCTCTGGCATCCAAAACAGTGTTACATAGACTTTTGCTATATTTTTAGGGAACTTTTTAGATCTTTCTTAGTGTTTTTATTTCTTTTGTTTGGTCTTCAACTCAAAGAATAATGTCTGCTGCAGACTGGTGAAACCAACTGTTTATTAAGATTCTCAAGCTTTTTGGTTGTGTTCCCTTAAAGTGCAGCAATGAGTGCATACTACCCCTTTTACCAACAAGATGGGTAACTGTGAATAGTTTTTGTTTTACTTGAATTATCAGAGGAGCCCTTGATTCTAGCAGAACCAGAGTAAAACATGTAGTGTGTCATGGTCATAAACCACCTTTCAAACACCAAACTTAAGTTGTCAAAACTTCCAAGTTGTGTAAGGACACCACCACGTATCTCAGTATATGATTGTGCTGTTCCATTTGAGGATAAATAAAAATCCATGTACAGGATGTGATCAAAGTCACTGCAACAATCCTGGATTGGAGTAGTCAGCACTCATGCACTTTTGAGAGTCTTCAGTCACTTCTGTGCTAATCATGTGAATCCCTTGAACAATGAAATAGCAAAAGCCTCAATCGGCAGATGAAGCTCACATCTGGCTCCTGGCCTCCACGACAGTGCAGAACTCCACCTCAACGGGTCAAGTAATGCTGCAAAAGATGCACAACTGGCGTTTCAGCTTGGAGTTCATATGTGTGCCTTTCATGACCTCTATCAGCTCTGTCTGATGAGAGAAATATGCTTTTTATGAGATTCACTGTTTGCCAAATGATGAGTTTCTCACCATAAATACTGTCGCTACAATTCTCTGAACAGCAGGATCTGTCAATACCTTACACAGACTAGACTATTTAATTGTGTAATTAATTCATAATTGACCCATTTGATGTTTTAACTATTAAGCTGCAGCTATGAGTTACAAATGGAGATGAATGATTTAACAACCAACTTGTTTTAAGGTCAGGACTGGCTTAAAACAGATAGTTGTGTCCATGTTCTCACAGAACGACTCAGACACTGAAACAGCAGCTGCATACACAACCAAACTGGGAGCCTCATGAACACACTTCAAATTCAGTAAGCACACTATAAAGTGTGAAGGTGAAGGATTAGCCTGATTACATCGTAGTACAAAAGGCACTGTTTGCTCATACACCCATAGTTCTTTTACATCTAAATGCTGTGTTTTTGAAAGCTCCACTTTCAGCAAAAATTCAACATTTGAGTGATTATGTGGAGGACTGTTAATAAAACAGAAAATCTGAGGTAGAAAAAAGTGTGTGATCAACTGATTCTTCAACAAACTGAAATATCTTTAAAAAAAATAAAACAAAATGCTGCATCACTTCTTAGTTCAGATCCCAAATCCTGATGTAAACATACAGTATACTGTGCTGTACCAAATAAAACTCGGAATTATGTGTCTCTGTGAAATTATTGTCCTGGTTTGCAAACTATCACTATTTACTCATTTTTACAGAGGAATCATACTGAGCTCTTTCCATTGTTTGTTGCCTAACATATGAAAATCACACACTAATATTTCTTGTTCTTTCCTGGAGACATCATCTTTCCATGCAGCAGTTAAATTCCAGGTAAATTCTCTAAGCCAGGGTTTGTTTTTACCTTCCTGTGGAACCCAACCCTGGAAAAACACAGTAAATGGCTCCTTCATCAGCCTCTACAGCGACTACGTTCATCACTAGAGTCACCACAAACAGATCTGTTCTGTGTGTGGTGTGTGTGTAAAAGGGAGTGAAGCCCCATGTGTATTTGTGTACACATATGGTTGCATGTTTACTGTATATGCATCTACAGGTATGTGGTGGCTTTTTGCAGTCACACTATATGTGAGTATGTGGCAGTGTGAGCAGGCCTGTAATGTGTGCATGTGTGTCCACTCATCTTTGTCCAGCAGGTGTAAATAAGGAGTGTCTGTGTAAAACCTTCTGGCCATATAATCACTGAAACGTCTGTTAGCACCCGGATGCAGGAGGGCGTAACAGCACGTTCAACGCCACTCATCTAACAGTGCATCATTTTTAGACAGAGTGGCGTGTTGGCTGTACGTACAGTGGTTGTTCTGTATGGGTAAGTAACCCCTCTCACCTCTCTACCCTAGCTTTCCAATTTGAACAGTGAATGAAACTGTATTGCCAGCTTGAGAGCACACCAGCCAGCGGTGGTTTGTGGTCTGTAGCAATGAAAACATTTACTCAGCAAATCTGAGAAAGTGTTTTAGAGCCATAAAGATTTAAAGGACATAAAAAAGTTTATGAACATGTTATTAATTTAACTAAGAGCCATTAATTAAGTTGTAGCCATGGCCTGGATGGAAATATCTGTCTGACCGGTTCCTCTTGGGGTAGGGGGTTTGGTACCAGCTGACTCGGTTGAATCTGCAGGACCACAGTGTTTCAGCCATGCAAAGCAGTTTCTTCAAGGCTGGCAAAGAGCACAGCAGTCTGGTTTGTAGGCCAGAGCGAGCAGGTCCAGTCTTCTCTTAATGTAGGCAGATTAGGTTTTATTTTATAGATACATGTATCAATGGGAAACTTGGTTATTTGTCTCTTACACCAAAACAGCGTTTGCAAGATAACCTGTACTTGGTACAACTTAACTGAACCTCTTTCACGGTTTCTCCAGGTGGGTCTAATAAATAGACAGCCCCTAAGTGTGATGTCAGAGCTGATCCTCCAGTTGCCCCAACCTACCAGACTAACAGTTGTATATTCTCACCCTCAGATGGCAAGAAAGTGAGCTGGTCTGCTCATTCTCTTGCCTTGGGAGGTATAAATTATCATTTCTTATAACAAATGTACTTCATATAAATTGTCTTTACTGTTGTGTTTTTATTAATTTGTAGAAAATAGTACAAAAGCATAAACATATATAATGAAACAAAACATATGTGTAATGACACACTGTTTCTTCTTCCACAACGGATGTAAACATGGCATTTGAAATATTACAATACAGATACTCACTCATAACTTCTTCTTCTTTCCCCACCACTGAGCACTACTCTTAATCACCCTTAGACAAATGACAAAAATATGCATTATAATATAATACATGGGATATGTCAGGAGGCATACAGTATATTTCACAGTGTTAGAAAGAAAAGGTCTGTGGTGGAAGTAACACACAATCATGGACAAACTGGAAAAATCTGACAGGAAAATAATGAGAAACACAGCCTTTACAAAAGCACTTAACCCAAAAGCCTGCAGCTGAATCTCCAAAGACTAGATGTTTGAACCTTTGTTACTGTTTGACTAATTCATCATAACTAGATTTTTTGAATATGAAAAGTTATTTCGGAGTCAGAATGCCTTCCCTGAGTTTGAAATGAATCATCTGTGAATTAAAGACATTGCTGGTGGCGGATCACAGTCACATCTGTTCAGCTACATTTAAGAAGTGGCAAAGAATTTAAAGCAAAATTATTCTGACATAATATGTGAGGGAAATTTACAGCCAAACTAACTGATGTCAAGGCCAAACCACAAGAAGATGCCATCTCTCTAGCTGCAGGAAAGACGGTGTAGCGGTCAGTACATTATACACTATATGGCCAATAGTATGTGGACATCATCACCATCATATGCTTCTGTTTAGTTGAATAAATGTTAATGCTACTGCATACACTGATGTGCATGCACATGTGTGCTTCCAACTTTGTATGAGCAGTTTGTGTACTATGTTTCAGAGTGACAATTTAACCATGCACAAAAAGCCAGATGTACAGAGAAATGGTTTTCACAGTTTTGTGAGGAATAATTTGACAGGACTACACAGAGCCCCGACCTCAACACCTTTTGGCTGAACTGGAACACAGACTGTGAGCCGGGCCTTATCACCCAACATCAGAGGCTGACGTTAGTAATGCTGGTGTGACTGAATGAGAAAAAAAAAATCCCTGAATCCAGGATCAGAATCTTGCAGGAAGTCTTCCCAGAAAAGTGAAGGATGTAATAATAGCATATTAATGGCTGTGGTTTTGGGAAGACATCTTCAACAATTATACAGTTTGATGACAAATGAAAGGACAACCCAATAAAAAGAGTCTCAGTAAGGTGTTAGGACACCACATACCACCAGAACATCTTCACTGCACCTCGCCTCTCCAAGTCTCTGAACTCTCCTGGAGGGATGAACACCATTCTTCCAACAGATGTTCCCTCGTGTGGTGTTTGGATGATGGTGGTGGAGATGCCGTCTAACACGCCACTCCAGCATCTCCCATAGGTGTTCAACTGGGCTGAGATGTGGTGACTTGGAAGGCCACAGCATCTGAGTTACATCACATTCATACTCAAACCATTCAGTGACCCCTCGTGCCCTGTAGATGGGGGCACTGTCATCCTGGAAGAGACCACTACTTATTCAGGTTTTCCTTTAATTTGTCACCTGCTCGTATTTTCCGGTGTCCATATCCTTCTGGCTATTTAATAGTAGTAAAGTTCAATATTGAGTGATTAATCCCAAATAGCTCAGAAATGAACCAACTGGCTAACTGCACCCCAGCTAAAGCTAATGCTAACCTCCTGAGCAAAGCTTTGAACCAGATCACTGTTCAAATGGTTTGTTTATATATCTACCGATAGCAGTAGACCCCAAATTTCAGGTAGGGAGGGGGGAACCCGAAACTACGCACCCCTGGTTCTGGTGGACCGCAGTTAGCTCGGGCTCTTGTGATGGGATAACGGACACTCCTATCAGCCAACCAGCCACCATCACAGCGGTCCAAACCCATCAGCCCCCAGGCGGCATACAGCTGGCCCACCTTTGCAATTTGACTTCCATCATGGGCACAAGCCTGGACTGCTTCTGTGAAGTTGAGCCCTGTTGGATGCTTTAAGTAGTACACAGTCCCTAAGGAAAGAGCGAATCAGAAGTGAGGAGAGTGCTATGTATTGACATATTTTGGTTTAAATCATTCCTCATACTGACCCTTGATAGCAGCAGAGAAGCAGAAAGCATCATAGTGGTGGAAGAGGCGATGCCGTTGTCCATAGCTGCGCAAACCAGGAGCTAAGTTCATGCCCCCACAGCTGTGACGTGGGACTGTGATTGGATACTGTACAGTGCCGTCAACCAACCAGCCAGCATTACACCAGTCTAGCCCCTCCTCCCACGCTGTGAAGAGCTGCTCAAATGTAGCCAGAGTGGCGTCCTGGTCCTGGCATGCTTGTTGGGCCGCAAAGAAGTTAAAATGGTAGCGTCCTTTCTGAGAGTAGTAGGGAAACACCACACCTATACAGGGAACAAAGGTGTACTAGTTAACTAGGTTGCTAGCTTAGTCTGTCTGTCTGCTGCTGGGCAGTTAGCAAACTGTGGCTTTATCAGAGCTCATTTCCTGAAAACAGCTGGAAATGCAGTGACATAGTGAGACTCAACAATAAAATAAATGTTCTGTAAAACCAAGCTAAACAACAATGAAGCTCTGCGAAGGTGTAAACAAGCTAGTGGTCTAAGGGTTCCTCACTTTCACATTACATGTCGTAATTTGACTCACTTTCAATATAATGAGTTAATTGATGAAGAAAATCTCTGTTGTCAAGCTTTTCAAACATTTTACGGTCATATTACAGCAAGTGTTTTCATTTAACTATTATGATCTCACTGAATATGGCACATCCAAATGACAAACATGTCTAATAGATTCAACCCAGAGAGCAACGTAAAGGTTTCCTTCCCACTCTGATTAAACATAAATATGTATACCAATGTGGTGATTGAGTGTTTATATAAGCCTGGATTACCAACCAGGCAAAGCGATCAACTGCATCTTGGCCCCAGGCCCTATGCAGCCCTGACTGCACCATATTTATTGTCTCTGTGTTTTTATGTAACTTGATTAACTGCATGTTTGTTTATGGTAATGTGCAATACTAGAGGAAAACTAAACAATAAGGGCTTTAAATTGTGACTCTATATTATTACCTTACAGAGGTCAAATTTACATTATGCATATTCCTTTATGTGTCTACAATAACCCTAAGAAGTAGCCTAGAGCGACTCAACATGGATGTATCATAAAAACAGTATGGTGGACTCTAAAATGGCACCTATTCATCTGAATAAGAATTACTGCCCCAGTGCATAAATCTATGAAGTTTTGTCACTTTCTGTGTGGGCCCCCTGCACATGGGCGTTAGTGTTTCTCTCTCTCAAGCCCCTCTCAGCAAACAGACTTTACACTGGGATGACAATACACATAAAAATAGCTTTTCTGTGCTAGCTTTTAGAAATGGAACCACCTCCATAATTCATTGAGTAGTAAATGACTTGCTTGCTGTTGGAAGTGTCTTGTCAACAGTTGTATAGACATCACTTTTCCATAGATGGCTTATGTGGAGCACACTTTCAACAGCAAGGCTGATTGGTGGCACTTTATAAAACTCTCATCATACATCCTTGCAGCCCAAAGAATATTTTTGCTCCAGGACCTCTAGTGAAAAAATCCACACCATGTGTTTACTTGCTTCAAAGTGCTTCATACTGCATATACTCAAGGAGGAAGCTGCTTCATCAGGGCCCACCTTGAACCAGCCAAATCCTGCCACCCTGTACAATGTGTAAACATGAAAGTACAAAACATATTTTGCATAACTATTACAAGACTTTTCAGTAGAGCTGCTGCTGCACTTTGACTCATCTTCAAAAGGATTTCAAATGACACAACAGTCCTTTCCCTGCATGGGAACATTAGTCCAGAGTCCTAGATTGCCAAGCTCTAAAAACCCTACATAACGTTTCACCCTCATAAATCTACCACACCTGTGACATACACAAACCTATTTCTCACCCTGCAGCTCCAGCTCCACTGTCACACTCTCATCCTCCAGGCCATCAATCACCTCACAGCGGTATCTTCCTGTATCATTGAGCTGCAGCTCATTGATCACTAGAGACATATCCCCAGGAGCTGAGCGGCGCAGGCGCACACGGCCCCGGAAGCTCCCATAGCTACGGTGACGGTTGCCCATGGCGACCATAACTTCAGTTTCCCTGGTGAAGGCTTCGGGAGATGCAGGTGGAAGGATGGGGTTGGCAGGCACCCAGGACCATTTAACCCGGGTTCTGCGTGGTGTGGTGAGCTCAGGCTCATAGTGGTAGTGACAGGGAAGGGTGACACTGCTCCCCCTGGTGGCCGACACTGAAGGCTGTGGGGATTCCACATGGAGACGAATCCCATTAAAGTAGACTAGAGAAAACACAAAGAAGAAGCAGCACAATATGGTTCAGCTAGTACAGTATTAACATTGACCTCTATATGCATTATTAATGGGATAACTTATAACAGTCATTAAAGCCAGTCTCTCCAGTCTGTGCAATTAATCCCTGTATGGTGTAGGATTTGAGTCTTATAGACTCTAGTTACTTTATAAGCTTTAGTTACTTCTCATACCTTTAGTTCCCCTTAGTTACCTTTCATAACTTTATTTTCCTTGTTGATACATATTACAGCTGTATTGATGATTGTCCAGAACTACTGAGCTTTGGTTATTTTAATACATTTATTTTCCTTGCTTATATATCTTACAATTGTATTGATGAGAATCAAGTAGAATCTGCTTACTTTGAATGCTGTAAGTTCTGTGTAGAGACTAGATGTCTGCATCTCCTTGTGACCAGACAGCCTATTTACATTTTAGCAAAGGCCTGTTTTACACTCACACCTCGACCCACTTAGCATATCCCAAGCTTTGCTTTGTCTTGGAATGTCCTGCAGAGGCCGGGGGCTACAACCTGAGACACACCCACACACACACACACACACACACATATACCTAGACTTTACCACATTCTAACAAGGGGGAGCTCCGGGTTCACACCAAATGGACAATAGGATCAAAAAGCTGTTGAATGTTGTACCTCTGTTCAGGGCGGACAATGTTTTGTAAGAACTTAATTCAGGGCTCAGTGGATGGAACTCCTGCGGGAGCTCTATCTCTCTGATCCCAGCACTGTAAGGCCTACCTGTGATCAGACTTTCAGTAAACTTTCTGTTGATTTTAAGCAGTCCTCTCCTATCTTCACTTCTTGTGCTTCCAACAAAAGAATGGGGTTAATTTCTAACAATGGAAAGCTTGTACTGAACTGGTCAGGTAATGCAGGTATCTTTGGACTGTGGGAGGAAGTCAGAGTACCCAGAGAAAACACACAGGCACTGGAGAACACACACACACACAGGACCTACTCTCTCCGTTGCCGTTGCCGTTGCTGTTGCTGATGTCCTGGTAGTGAAAGCCGTTGCTGTACCAGGGGATCCAGCTCTGGCCGCCGGGAAGTAGCAGGTACACGCAGACGGCCAGTAGGGGGCGAAGCAGACTGAGCATGACGCTGTGCTGAACCAAGAATCAGGTGAAAATACAAAGGTCTTTGTTTAACTTCTCCCCCTCAGACCTGCCATGAATACCTGGCAGTGGCAGGCACCGTGAAATCACAGTCCAATGGTTGACAATTGTTTGGTTAAGTGCCACATTTTAATCTACACTCAAAACTGTTTCTCATAACAAATTAAAATAAATCAATTTGGCCACTTTCAAAATCAGGCTGCTCTCAGAACAGAGCAGTGACACTCACACTGTGTAGTAGTGTACAATACAAAGTTACATGAATCAAACTTCATGTAAAAAAAAAAAATCGCTAGTTTATTGCAGTGAAATACACTTATTTCAATTGTGTAGAATTCAGCTCTACTTTTATATGATTTATATGCGCTGAAATGCATATTTGGCTTTAGCAAACCTATTATATGCCCTATAAAAACAAAAGAAACGTTTCTCACGTCCTTGGACAAACGTCAGGAGTGTACTTTCAACAGCCTATAATCCCAAATTATTGTCCTCGCAATTCCCCCAACTTCTTCAATTGCCTGCCTTAAAGTAGTCAACACCGATTTTATTTTCGATAACAATGACTAAACTCTCATGTTGCCTTGTGAAGCGCATTTAGTAGCCCCGTTAATCGACTGAACAAGGCTAAACAAGAATACAGTTCGTGGCAAAAACAAAAGGACTCACAAATAAGCAGTGGTCTGCCCAGGGTGTCTTCAGCTCATCTCCCTCATCCTCTGCTGACCGGACCGTCCCGCAACCCGAGGAGCGCGCCGTGAAGTCACGAGACCTGGCATCCCGTTGGAAGTGAACGGGATTGGAACTGTGACGTCACTCATGCAACTCAGTACTCAGATTGTTAGCAAATACCAGTGTAAAAATACTGTTACAAGTAAATGTCCTGCATTTCTTAAGTAAAAGTAGGCCTACGGAAGTAGTGTATTGTAGTAGTTTATTGGTTGGTGTATCAAAATATACAAGTACCCAAAGTACAAGGACTCATTGACTCATGCAGAATCATTATTATTCTGCAGAATGGCACATTTCATGTAATGTACATTATATTATTGATGCATTATTGTGTTAGATTAAAGCTCATTACTAGAAGTGACATTACCCTTGTCCAATATGAAAACAAATGACACTAAACAATAAATACAAAAGATACTAACACAAATATCTGTATAGACACACACCTACCCTGCACAGAA